AATGTGCATGGAAGAAAGAAGGCCAGAAGATACTGTGCTACCCTGTGATTTATTAAGTCAACTCTACAGGGGGGATTCTCTGAAGAGAGAATGCCTTAACAAAGTTACGAATAAAGTTGGTGGCAAGTTATGTTATTTATGCCGTCAACAGCATAAATACCTCTATTCAGTGTAAGACAGAACAGCTATTACGTTGCATGATCATGCAATAACATTCCCAATAAATGTGTCTTGTGTGTAGTACACCATTTCTCTTTCTTACATATTCTGGACCAAGACTCCCAATTGCTACAGTATATCATGCCATTTCCTTTCTGTTTGTGAGAAAGACTGCTTGCCTTTATGGATTTAAAAAAAGAGAGAGACAGAAAGAGAAAGTTGTGCTTATACCGCTTGGAATGCTGCCTGCATTTTGGTAAGAGGAAAGGTGGAACTTTAGGAAAAGAAATAACATTAAAATAAAGGGAAAGCTAAGGCAATCTGTTCAATGGCACATTGAATCTAGTTTTGTGATTCGTTAGCAAGTGTCACAAAGGCAAAAATGGAAGAATTGTGTAAACGTATACAATACAGTACATCAGCCACAGACAACTAAATGAGAAACAGCCCTGTGATTCTTTTCTTTCTGCTTTGTTTTTTCTTTACTTGAAAGTGGATACTCGGCCAGTATATTGGTGGCATTTTATGTTTTTTATATTCAGAAAAAGATGTCATGATGTTAACAAGAAAAAGAATTTTCATGAAAACTAAGGTAAATTTGCAAAAAGATTGAAAATACAAAATATTTTTTAAAATGTACAAATTACTTGTATCTTAGGAAAACACGGAAAGAGTTTTTTCCCTTTGCATTTTTAATATTTAATTACAAAAGTTAAGGCTAAATAGTCATTGTGCCAAACTGTCAAGGATCTAGACCTTGCCTGTTTATTATTTAAAATATTTCTCTATGCTGGAATTGCAGAGATACAATCTTGGAAAAACATTAAAAAAAAAATTTTTTTTTCTGAAAGGATGCGTTGAGTTGTTCAGAGAAACCTGCAACTGAAACCTAGCATTTTTGAATGCAATTCTACAATTCCCATATTTATTTAGAGGAAATTGGTAGAGCTGTGGAGCGTTATTAAAATGATACACAGGTAATCTAGAGTGTGCCAATCCTTAGCAAATTCAGCAGGAAGACTCTCTCTGAATTAATTGCTTTATATACTTGAAGTTTTCCAGAATTATTTTATTCCTGGAAACAAAGAATATAATAGATAATGTTATTTGGTTTGCTTTAATCATATTTATGTGAAGACGGCCTCCAAATATATTTTCAAAACAATATTGTCTTTGAATTTTAATGCCAGGCCCTCAGATTGGCCTTTCCCACCCTGACATATTCCAAATTTATTGAGACTACAGTTAAGGTTTCAGTACTGACCATATGCAGGCCCCAGGTGGATAAAGCTGGCTAGATCCTTGTAGAAGTTTGAATTATAGCCTTATCTATTCAGCTCTGTGTAATGTTTTATGTTTTAATTGTTCTGGACTGTAGGTTTCATTAAGCTTAATGAACATTATAATGTTCATTCCTGTTGAAATCATTAGGGCTGAAGGCAGATGTATTTTTCCCCCTGATGATACAAAATTCAAGTCCAGCTAACTTAGCTGGACTTGAATCTGGGATCATGAGGAAAAGCCAGTCAATAATTTTTAAAAAATCAAGAGGTTGTCCTAAAAATCTTTGAAAGATAATTAATCATTATTTAGGTTGCTAAAGATTTATTTGTTGTTATCAGTGAAATATATATTTGTTTAAAGGCATTAGAATCAGTATTGTTCTATTCAGCAGTTGTTGCATGTGAGAGGAAATAAACATTTAACAATAAGATAATCTCCATTTTAGACTTTTATGGTATGTATGAATGCATGTGAATGCTGACAATTTATTAAAGATAATCGAAAATCAAAAGTATTCTGCTCAGAAAAAGTGCTATATTTGTGCCCTACTTCTAATCTTTAACCTTTGCTCTGCCCTCTATTATCTAGCCAAAATGTTAGCAGGAGTTGAAGATGATTATCACTTTTTTCAAGTTTTCACTAAATGTTTACTGAATAATTTGAAAGATTAGGTGAAGGATATTGCATGAAGGAAGATTAATATTGCAAAAATCAAGATTGCCAATGAAATGAATACAAAAATAAATAATAATGAAATAATAACCATTATTAAGGTATTGTCAAATATCAGGTTCTGTAATGTTAATTGGTCTATGACTGTTTCTTTGTGGAAAAGTAATGCTATTCCTCTAATTTTCCTAATTTAGTTGTAGAAATGTGTACTATTACATTACTACTAATTGTGCATCTTTAAGTTTATTTTTAGTAGTTTGTCTGATTAGTTTTATTTTATGATTTGTGTATGGAGTACAGGTGGTCCTTATTTAGCAATTGCTTCATTTAGTTTAGTTTGCAGGCCTATAAAACAGACAAAAAACTGAAGTAAGATCGTAAGCAGATTTGCAGTTTCACACAGTGACAGCTTCATTGAATGACTAAGTTGCTGGTCACAACTGTGGTCACTAAACAAGGACTTTAAAGTGGTTTTAAAACAATTTTTGATGGAAAAAGTTTTAATGAGAGAATTTATCTTTTGGTGAACTGATCTGTCTTTTAAAATCTATGATTCTGACATACTTGTACAGAAGTATGTTCAACTGAACTAAAGTTGAACATTAATTCCAAATAAATGGATTTAAGATTGGGATGTGATTTTGCAAATCTTATTGGAGATTGTTGGTATTCCTCACTTGAAAAATTACCAGGCAGGGATATGTTTCTTAATGGCACAGAAAGAAAAGAGCTCAGAGAAAAATTGTTGTTCAACATGACATTTAAAACTTAAGAGTTAATACAATAAAGCACCACCTGACAGAGAATAGGCACACCTTAGGAGACAACCTCTTTTTCCAGCAAGGTTAATGCTGGTTTAGTACATTTTTATAGGATTCATGAAATTCTTCCTTAGTTGAAATGATTTTGATGCCATTAGAAATCTTTACTTATAATTTAATGGATATGGCTAATTGTCAGAAGAAATATCAGTAGGACTCAGATCATTGGAAGGCTTCCTTTTACCAAAGAATCATTATTTTCTATCGGCCTATGCCTCTTCCTGTTTGACACTTTAAGGGGGAGGACCCTCAGTGAGGCCTCTTATAACCTGTGGCAATCCAAAATTTCTATTGCAGATGCTAATGGAATCCCTCAAAAATTTGGAGGTGACTCATACCAACTAGATATTAAAAATTAGGAAAAGCACCTCAGAACTCAACCACAGAAGGCTTCAAATAAGAGTGGTGGAAGAGCACAAAGACTGGAAAAAAATAAATTAGCATGTTTACCATAATTTTACTGAAATACTTGCTTGAGACAATGAGCCTACTTAAATCTTCCCCAAAAAGAGAGCAACAAAATGCCTCAGGCTTCAGCACTCTCCTGCTCATTTCCCTCTGGGACAGGGGCCTCCAACCTTGGCAACTTTAAGCCTGGTGGACTTCAACTCCCAGAGTTCCCCAGCCAGCAAAGCTGAAGTCCGTCAAGCTTAAAGTTGCCAAGGTTGGAGACCCATGCTCTGGGGAGAAGTGAATGACCATATAGTGCTCTTGATGAAATGGGAAGGTTACATTTCCAAAGAACCTGGCATGTGGGTTGTAGCATTAAGAGCAGGAATAGAACAACTGTGGCTATATCCATTCATCCCCAAACTTGATGTGGTAGGATATGCCGATGGGGCTGATGAAAACTGGAGGCCAGCAATCTCTGAAGGACTACAGATTCTTTATCATAACTTTGAGATACTTTTATTCATGATTAGAATAGTCAGATAAATGGCTGCATACTTAGCTGACACTGAGAAGGCGAAAGGGAATCGCTTGTTACCCTGAAACTGTGTTTTTCATTTCTTCCTAGGGACAATCCTGGGTAAAAAGATCTCAAAGTTTCCGTAGGTTTAATGAGACAAAGCAAGTAAAGAAGCAATGTTTAAATTATATGAGTACTTACGATGTGCAGGAGCTTTCTACAAGATGAACATGAAAACTAATTTGATGAACTTTAAGCAAACAAAGACTGTTTTGCAAGAAATTTGTATTTCTTGTGGTCAATCATAATTTCCTACTCTTAACACTCCGAACTCATCTACCTCTCAGTGGAAGGATGCCCCACTAACAATTTGCTAAGGGCATGTCCTCACAATAAATCCTCCATCTTGCTATAGCCCATTATTGAGTCTGATAGAAGCTGATCTAAGATGCCTGAAGGAAATGTTTTCTCTGCTATCTTAGTCTTAAGCCTCCAATGTATGCATTCACTTAAACATGGAGGAGCTGCCTTTGGAGTTTGGCAACTGTTAGAGACCAAAAGGCTCCTTTCTCCCATCTGGATGGCTGGCTAGGCATCTGTTTGGCCTTTTTTTGTGGTTGCCAGAGACACCATACCTCACCTTCATGGCACATATTTTTCTTTTGTGGGATAGGCTTGGACATTGGAGTATTGATTGCATGTTAAACTGAATGCAGGTCTTTGAGGAAATAAATATTGCTATTGCAAAACAGAAATAAAGATGCTTAGGAAATACCGGTTCCACCACAAATGCGCGAACGACAAAAGTGCGCCTGACTAAACTGTGGTGACAAAACCGCGCCGACAAAACCGCGCTGACGAATGAGCGCTGAAGCGTGCCGACAACAGCGCGCCGACAGAAACGCGCTATAACCTAACCCTAAAAATAACCCTAAACCTAACCCTAAACCTAACCCTAAACCTAACCCTAAACATAACACTAAACCTAACCCTAACCCTTACCTTAACTTACATCGTGCTTCTGTCGGCGCACTGTTGTCGGCGCGCTGTTGTTGGCGCGCTTTTGATATCGCGGTTTTAGCGCCGCGGTTTTGTCGGCGCGCTTTTGACGTTCGCGCTTTTGTCGGGTCACGGGAAATACCATCAGGTTTTGAAAACATGTCCATCTATGATTTACTGTGCTGGCTTTTTGACAGCAATAATTGTAAACAGTGGATTTTGTTTTTATCAAAGATTCACTAGAGAAGGATTGTTATGTTGTGCATGAGGGCAGACTCTGCTTCCCCCCCCTAGTTGCACCAGCAATGCCTTGCCCAATGCATTTTTATTTTGTAGGGCTGAGGTTTCCTGAAAAGAGTAGATCGCATTCTTCTCCTGCACGTGCAATCTAATTTGGGACCCAGACCTCTAATTTATCCCATGAGTTGTCACAATCTTGGTTTTCGCAGACTCCTGTGCAAAGGTTAGAGGAGAAACTTATTGGCAGAGGCTTTGAATAACAACTTAAGTATGTACACACTGAATGTCAGAACTATTGAAGCGTGTTTTGCCATCTTGAAAGAGGCAATTTTCTAATGGATAGGGGGAAATGAGGTGCCATGAGCAATGCAAACAAATGAGGGTGAGAGCTGGGAAGGAGGATATGAAGCAGGAATGGGGAGAGGGTGTCACGTCAAACTCACTGGTTGTGGAAGTAACTTTTACCTGGAGTAACTTTTACCTGGAAATGTCATTAATTCTCTTTATCCTCCTTAGAATTTACAGAACAGGTATTATAGAACTGTTTTCCCCAGCCTTTGAAGAGCCAATCTTTAACCTAAAAGTAATCTACATTATTTTCTCAGAAGGCAGCAATACTACTGGTTTAACTGCCAACTGTGGTATGAAGTATGTTGTGGGTGCTGTCCTTTTTGTATTGTCAAGAATGGGAACATAGCCGTACGAGCCCTTAGTAACCAAACATTCAAGCAGAAGGACATAGAAAGTGATTCTGGTGATGCTAATATGAAGCTAAGATTCCCACTGGGCTTTTTTATTTTATCTGAAGGAAACACTGGAAGATGATGATAGTTCATATGGTGCTTGCCTATTATAAAAATGCTAGCTTTTCTACTTTGATTTTCTGTTCTCTGGGAGGCAAACATAACAACCTCTAAAGAGACTTTGAGAACTGGGGCCTTCTATTCTTGAGAAAAAGTGGCTCTCTTCTTTTTTCTTTTTGGGAAATTTAGATCATAAGACAGTTATTATGGATACATATTTTATATAAACCACAAAATCATCTTTTACATATCACAGTTCTGACAAGCAGACCATATACATAGGTAGGCACTGTTACTGAAAGGCAAACAAGTAAAATCAGTGACAATAATTTAATCCTGGCAATTCTAGACCTATTTTCATGGCATACTCATTTTAATTCGACTGTAGGAAGATGGGACATAAGCACAATACTGAAAACTAGAAGATTTAAATAAGGGCAAATAAAACAATGATAACAAAACCCTAAATCATCACTCTGAGTTCCCTAAGCAACTATTCAATTATTTTTAACGATACCAGTCAGTAGTGAAATCAGTGTGGTATTTTCAGTGTTGCAAAATATGTCACAACTGAATTCTGATCCACACTTGCATGCATACAAGCCTCATTGAAGCCAACTATATAGGAACGCTGAGCACGGAGACTGTGCAAAATGCATTCCTTTCAATGACCCTTATAGAAGAGCCCATCAGAAACTTGAACAAAAGAAATGAAGGTTCCAGTCAACATGATGCTAGTTGGGTTGATCCCATTGTACATTGTCTGCAAGACCAAACCGTTTTATTGGGGCTTATATGGGAACAGGTCTTAATAAACAGCTTCCCAAATTAGAACAAAGTCTTTCTTTGGGGAAGGAAAATTCAAATATTAGGATCTCAAACAACATGATCAAATGTCTTTCCCTTACACCAGTAAAAAATAAAACCTGTTTCTTAAAAAACGTACAACATTAAAATGCAGTTTAAGGCTCACATATATGTGAAACTTAGGAATCCTGTAAAACCTTGGAGGTTGATCATACCTGCTAGTTATATAAAGTAAAATTCTTCATATACGTTTATAAGTCTAATAAATATATGCCATACATAAATATGCATATTACACATATTCAACTATGCATATTCATATATTATATATTTATATTGATATAGAGATATCTTTCAAATAGAACAGCACTTTGTTTGCTGTTTTTGTTCTCACACTCTAAAAATAATCCTAAAAGAGTGCATTTGGTGAGAAGTCTGTACTTTCATTACTCATCTCCCTTGACAAGTTAGAAAAATCAGAGCAAACCAACTGCAAGGCAATGGAGGCAGTCACTTCCAGTTCACAGTACTGCAGTTAGAAAAATACAGTGAGGTCTAAGGGAGTGATGGAGCATGAGCTGCTCGGAAGAAGAAGGAGGCGAAGGAGGAAGGAAGGAAGATGGTCACATGACATTACAGCACTGACAGCGCTTTTTCTTTTCTGTACCTGGGACTTTCTCCATTGGTAAACTTTCTTCTTTTCCCTCTGGTGAAGAGGGCTCTGTTGTGTCTGACAAGAGCCTCCCAGAAACTAACTCAGCAGCATTTCCATCCATAGTCGACACATCAGTCACTGTCTTCTCACGTAATGATTTTTCATCATCTTCGTCAATAAGGACCAGTTCGGCCTTGATTGTCTCATCATAGCCCAATACCTTTTTGGTCTCATCTTCATCATCAATATTTTGATAACCCATAAATATCATTGTTACTGGGTGATCTGAACTGGCTTCTGGGATTTCATCCCCAGAAAGTTTTGCTTGGTGTGGAGGGTTCCCAGAAAGTCTTTTGCTGGATTTGTGCACCATCTCTAGTTTTGCTTCCTTAAAAAGAATTTGTTCCTTCATGTGACTGAGGTTTCCATCCACTATTGATATAGCCCCTCCTTTTATGCTTGATTGCCCTGCTTTCTGAATAAGATCATCTACGTCCTTTGAGCTTAACTTATGTACTCCGTTTTCTACCACCGTGCCTCCAGAATGCATCTCATAGACTACTTTGGTACCATCATCATAGACTTTGATTCCTCTCTGACGGGCAGCCTCGGGGCCAATGGGGGACGTAGAGAGAATCTTGGTCTCTCCAGTTTGTTTGTCTTTCTCCACATTAATTTCCATGCTGTACAAAGCTTGAATGGAAACAAGAGAGGAAGTGTTTGTTACAACAGCAAGAAGCATGTGAATGGTTAATTGCCAAACAGACAAGCAGACAACTATATACCCAAAGAAGCTGTGATCTAAAATGCCAAGCAGCCTATGTTAGAGATGCAAACTGTGAAGTCAAGCAGTTGTTATCTTAACAAAGGTTGATGCAACTTTTCTAGACAAATCTTTTCTAGTGAATGGATAACTTTCTAATATTTTCTGTACTAGGGGGTATGTGTGACAAACAAGCAGGTGTACCATAATGTCTATGTTATTGAATTAGTTCATATAGTAAATATGGTCATTATCCAAATTCTGATTGCCCACACAGGGGAAATAGGACATATAACAAGTTACACGGGATATTTAACAACCCAGAGAGTTCCTCTTATGCTGGTCAAATGTTCCCTTCAGAAGTGAAGCACAGTAAAAAAAAATCACTTGAATTTCTACTTCAGGGGGAGTTTCTGCACAACTTAGAAGCTATATGTTACATACACCATATAGCATCGCCAAGAGGAAAGGACAGGAAATATAAATACCCTGATGTATGCATCATTATTAAAGTTGAGTATAGGCACTGATTCTGTAAGTCTATAGAATGCCACAGAACGTGGTATTAAAAGAAGTCAGTTTTCTAAGAAATAGGGCTGTAATTAACAAAGCAATTGTTTAGTCTTCTTGGTAGCAAAGATAGGCTTGAAAGTGAGGGATTATTGTACCCTAGCACAATCTCAGAAGCAAGAAGAACAGTTTCAAGGGAACTTTTCAGTGGTGAAAGCTTCAGAGTTATTTATAGGTTCTTATCCCATCACCAGCAGAAACAAACAAACAAAAAAACCAACAAAAAAGATGCAAATACAGAAAATAATGCAAACCTTCCTGAATTGTTTATTTCTGTGCAACTTTAGAAAACTGAGCAGAGTACCTATGTCGACTTCCTGGGGCTTCTATTGTTCCTCTTAGAAATACTTCCACTTAAGTTTCAGTTACTTTTGCCACTCCAGGCCTCCCCAAAAGGGAAGGGACTACTTTATAACCCCTTTTTTTTAAAGCATCTTGGGTTTCATATTTACTCCAATTCACCTAGCTTTAAAAGCAAGATGAATGCTTAGAGGAAACAGAAAAAGCAGAAATGGAAAATCCAGGGATACCAAAGTTTTAATTAAGCCTTTTAGTGCTATTGATCAATATATATAGTATATATAGGCCATAATCTTCTACATTCTCATCTGAGTGTGTTCTGCTTCATAGATGCACATGCTATTTAATTTCCTACTGAATGACTACATATAGCTCTGCAATACAGTAGATGTGATTACAATGCATGTAGTAAGTAGGAAAAAAGCCTTCAAAAACTCTTGGAAAGTATTGTTATTCTATTACAGTTATCAACTTACAATGGTTCGTTTAGTGACTTTTTGAAGTTAGGCAATCAGTGAAAAAAGTGATAGGACCATTTTTCACACTTACAGACATTGCAGCATCTTCAGAGTTACATGATCAAAATTCATGACAACTGACTCATATATATGATGGTTGCAGTGTCCCAGGATCATGTGATAACCTTTTGCGACCTTCTGACAAGCAAAGTCAATGGGGGAGCCAGATTCATTTAGCAACCGTGTTACTAATTTTACAACTGCAGAGATTCAGTTAACAAACGTGGCAAGAAAGGTAGTAAAATGGGGCGGAGGGGAAATCACTTAGCAACTGTCTTGTATAGCAAGAGAAACTTTGAGCTCAATTGTGGTTGTAAGTAAAGGACTACCTCCATTTGTGATGGGTCATTTACATGTGCAAGTTCCTTGTCATTACCATGTGCATCAAATGATGGCAATACGTATCCTAAAGTATATAGACACTTTACTGGGAGGAATGTGGAAGGGAGCAGTTTAAAGTTAACACCACAATCAATCTTATCTGTAATGTCTCATGACAAAATTTTGTAATTTTTCAGATTTTGGCCCATGAATGTAATATTAGAAAAAAAATGAAGACCTTGATAAAGGTAACAGAAGCACCTGGGAGGAGGTTTACAGAAGTCAACCAAATTTTTCCCTCCCACTCCCAAATAATCTACTGATGTTTTGTCGCTTTCCTGAACTGTGTAGAAAGTGGCCTGCCTGTCTCTGTAAATTGTTTTGCTATATCACACCAAAATTCTAATGCAGATGTATACAACTTTGTACTTCCAGTTGTATTGGTGAATTACAACCTGTGTATCTGCCAATCAGCATAAATAATAGTTCTAGCTCTAAATCTACCGTAATGACAAAGGCAGATGTCCATTGTTGCTTGTTTTCAAAAACCAGTCTTTGCATTGTGAGGACCAGAGCTTCATTGTGTGGATTTTGTTGATATAATGTACTCTGAGTCACTTGACCAGTTGAATGTTTCATTTAATTTAAGTATTTACATATTTTACACACAATGATCATATTCCAAATACTAATGTTGTTATCCTATTATTGTAATGCATGTATGTTCAACTCAGAAAACCCACTGAGTTCAACAGGGTTTAATTCATGCTATTTATTCTTAGGCCTGTCATCTATATATCACAAAGAACTAATATGAGGATGTTCACCCACAGACAAACTTTATAGCCAAACAAGAAAGCATACAGTAGGACTTCCGGTGACATCATTGTGCCTAGAGCAGGGTAAGGGAACTTCTCTAACCCCTGACTCTAATTTCTTCATGTGGGCTCTTTTTTTTGGAGCACTGCTGATCCCGAAGAGACCAGCAGATTAAAGGGGATTTTCTGCAGATGCCAGGGTGGTAAGGCAAATCCCCCAGCAGATAGGAGAAACCCCCCTAAACGGACAAAGAAATATCCTACCATCTGGTTAGGACTGAGCAATGGCGTCTGCATAGAAGGAAGAAACAGAAATAGAAGCAGACGAATTCGGGTGCTTGTTATTATTGCCGACAATCCAGAGAGGAAAGCAACGCGTAACTGGCAAAGTGGGTGAGCTGAGAGAAGAAGAAGCCGAGAGAGAGGCTGTTTTTTTTTACAGCTTAAGTTTGCCGAAAAGAAACATTGCAAA